CAAAAGGTTTTTACAAAAATATTATGAATTTCTTATAATTAATTGTTTATTTTGGATTTAGTTCTTGGATATTGGATTTTGAATGTGATACCTTTTATCCATAGTTTTAGTTAATGAATGAAGTAATGTTTGAAACCATTATTTTATATTATTGTATGTATGTATGTGGGATAAAGGGTGTCACGATTATCTTTAATATTAGGTTTTTTCTATATATTACACTAATAAAAGCATAAAAATACATTTTTTGTTTCTCTAAAATTCTTCAAAGTTTGGTTTTAGTTTCTAGAGTTTTTTTTATATATATTTTGGTCCTTTTAATTTGGAGATATTTTGATCTTCAAATTAATTTATATAATGCTTTATAACAAATAATAGAATAGAAGTAAATTGAATGAAAATATAACACACATTCTTGAGATTTGTTAACATTGTTTCTTCTTTAAAGTAACAAATTAAAACTTTTCGTTTTTAATTATAAGTTTAATGTATCATTTGGACTCTAAACGTTTTAGGAATTTTTAGTCAGGTTATTAAATTAAAAAAAAAATTGTAACTGAGTCTTTTAGCTTTTTACATTTTTTAATAAAAAAATCTCTAACCTCATGAACTACATTATTAAAAAAATAAAAATACAATGATAAAAGGCTCAATTACGATTTTTTTTAGTTTATGGACCTCATTAAAATTGTCTAAAAAAAGTTAAGGACAAAAGATATATTTCCGCCGGTTCTTTATATAATAAATAAATAACTAATTTATCATAATCAATAAAAGTAGTTGAGATGGTTAAATTTTATTAATAATGTCATAAATTATTGAACGGAGTAAGTCTATCAAGATTTACACCTAAAATAAATGGATATGTGACACCCTCTTCCCACACATTATAACACATAAATAATAAGATTTGAATAACTTAACCCTTCATAATTAAATACCAAACATGTTTAGATAGAGAGCATCACATTCGTCACTTGAAAAAAATAACATAATTAGTGGAAATTACAAAGAAATAAAACTAAGATTTTCAAAATAAATCAATAGAAACAATATCCTAATCTAATCATATCTATGTCCCAATGTCTCATATCCTATCAGAGCAATGCCAAAACTAAAGTTTAAGCTTTATCACCAACATCCTCAACCTCATGTGGATGATCACCTACATAACAATCAAAGGAAAATAACACAAAGGAAAAGAGAGTGAGAAACATCTCACTCTGACTCACGGTGTAGGAATACACACCAAATAGTCAAACACAAACAAGACATATATATATACATAGGAAAGACAAATTCATAATAATATCACACTTCACCCATCCATGATATAAAAATTAATTAACATATAACATTAAAATTCACATGTAATGGACACAGACTACATATTATATGCATGTGGCACCAGTAAAACATCACATGGTGTGCATTGCCATTAGCAACACACATAGAGTAATCTAGGAGTACATGCGAGGTCACATCCTTTGCGCACTCTCACTAGAAAGACATACTACCAAGGTCTGGTTAGGATAGTTAAGTCGCACAAGATATATCACATGCTCACGAGGATAAGATTAGGACTTCCAAACCGAGCTATCCACAAGGTTGGTTCCCAAGTTTTTACACAAGGGACCTTCTCTAGTAGTGTATTCCATATCGTACCCTTTAAAAATATTTTATGCATATGATGCATGTCAAATAGACTTTATGCATTACATTCACATGGTCTTATACCATAACACATCACACATATTATCATATGACCCTCACAATATCCATACACATCAAATGCATAATTGTTAAAGCACATCAACCAATCCATACATAGCTCAGAATATGTCATATCAATGATTACGCTTACCTCTTATTTTTATCATTTTCAAAAGTTTTATGTGTGTATTTTTTTCCTTGTCTCTACTCTCAAAGTGAGCAGTATCACTTATGTTTGTTCTTTTTGTCTATAAATATTTATATATATATATATATATATATATATGTTATTAAGTTGATCTTAATTTTATTATAAATCTAAGACAATTATCTCCAACTTCTATGTTGACCTCAAGAGCTAGATATGACATCTACTATTTTCAACAAATACAAAATCGCAACATTTTAGCCTAAATCTGATAGTCTGACCTTTGTTCACTAATTTGATCATAACCTATGTTCTAGATCTCCTTTTTAGGTGACTCTAACAACATTTGAAAGCTAGCATCCAAAGCTACAACTTTCATGAAGACTACAAAACCTAATTCTATCTAGGGATGGCAAAATGGGCCGTGGCCCGCGGGCCGCCCCGCTGGCCTGCCAATTTTTGGCAGGCCAGACCCATCATTTCAGCCTGCCAACCTGCCAAGCCCGCCCCGCCAAGCCCGCCAACCCGGCGGGCCAAATAGCAGGCTGGGTCGTCACAACCCGCCAACCCGCATAGGTGATTTACAGATTTAGTGATTGGGCTTTAGTATAAATAAAATAATAGGCTTTATATAAAAATATAAAAAAATCAGGCCCAACAGCAACAGGTAATGAGCCCCTACATATACTAAAGCCCAACAGCAACAGCAACAGGTAGTATAAAAATAATTGGCCAAATTGGGCTTTCACATATATCTGGCAAAGACACATAATTATATGTAGAAGGACCCTACATGTTTTATGGTTTTCTCGATGGGAATGGGTCCACTATCGATCTTTGGCTAGAGTGAAAGAAACGTTTGCACACCCTGGTGGAACTTTGAGTACACTAACTGCCATTTTAATGATAGCTGGAATCAAAGGAAACATGGACTATTTTTTTCCATTTTTTTGCAAATTATTTTTTGGGTATGCGGGCTGGCCCGCCGGCCTGCCAACCCATCCTTAGGCGGGACGGGCCAGCATTTTCAGCCCATTTTTCATCGGCGGGCCAGCCCAGCTCGGCCCGTTTTTGGCGGCCCATTGGCGGGGCAGGCCAAAACGGGGCGGGCTGGCCCGTTTTGCCACCCATAATTCTATCATTTATGTACACTCAAAAAGCTCACAATGTACACACATTATATTTTGCGCACAAAATGTGAGGTTCGTCTTTTAACTCAAATAACTCGATCATTCTTTAATATTTTTATGTGATTCTTGAGTCTAAAATGTAGCTCTAAATGTCTACTTTCTAACCCAATAATAAGAATTCAATTTTAAGAATACCTAGGTATATGTTCATTCCAAAATTTTCAAAATCTAAAACAACTTACATTCAAACTCTCCTCTCTCAATCCAATTGATAAAAATCACGATTTAAGCTTAATATTATTTTATCATACCATCAATTACTCAAATAAAACATCAAATTCACATTTTAATTATATACCTTTATTAACTATTCATACAATAATCATTTACAAAAACTAACATATTTAATTAGCACAAACTATAGTAATTAATAATAAATTAAATATTAATAAGCTCCTATTAATAAAAATAAAATACCAAAATTATTAATAAAATACCTATATTATATTTTATGAAAAATGGGGTGTTACAAGGTCCCTCCTCTCTCTCTCTTTATATATATATATATATATAAAGCCAACGAAGAAGTTTTGTTGAGTCAAGTTTATAAAGATGGGACCAATTGGACTTGAATTGAAAAGTAAAAGAGATGAATATAATATTAAAGATATATAAAAATTCATCTTACAAAAATTTTAATGAAGTATAAATTATCTATCAACGAATAAAACAATAATTTATTTTGAGTAATTTTGATTTTTAAGGACATCAAGGGATAATAAATTAGATCTATATATATATATTAACCATATGAACATATATATATATATATATATATGACACTAGCATGATTATTGTGTATTTGTAAAGGTATTCTGGTTTTTATGTTTATTTGAAAGACACTTTTTTATAAAGTTAATATTTATACTAAAATAAAAATAATTAATTGTCTGTGTTCTTTAAAAGAAAAATTAGGAGTATCAAGTGAGGTATAATTATAAATATTTCTTCTTTTATTTAAAATGTTCATAAAGAAGTTTGTGAAAAATTTATGTCTTAAAATTAAAAGGTGTTAACACTTATTTTAAATTTATTTTTTGACCTAATTATATATTATACTTTGTTTTTTACAATAACAACAATAATGTAAGAACTTAGAATCTTGCATTTACTGTCTATATAGGTGTACAAAACGGAACCAATTCGAACAAAAACCTGAAAATTGATTTAAAAAATCAAAAATGAATGAAAAACCAACAACTAGCATTTTGGTTTGGTTTTTTTAACCATGCAGTTCAAATTGGTTTGCGACTTGAGAACATAATAATGACCTAAATGAAACCATGCTTACTGTAAACATTTCTTCTCAAATATACAATGTATAGTGACACGTAACATAATTTAATAAAATAATTAAAAATGTATGAAAGAAATATTTTGACTAAAATAATAAGATTAGTATTGGTCCTAAATTATTGAGTGACCAAATTCTTTTTGTTTAAACATTTTTATTTTTATTTTTATTTTCAGCTTTTGTGTTTTAAAAAATCACATGATATTACATATTTTATCTAATTTTTAAATAATATAATTTTTTAAAACTGAAAAAGTCGAATCAAATTAAACTACAAAGGTTTAATTTGATTATGTTCTTATATCAAAATATATTTAAATCAAATCAAATCGCAGTAGGTGACTTTTAAGAAAAATACAAATTCAACCACACCACAGACACCTCTAATACTATCCAAACTTCTCACACTAAGTCAACCTATGAATCAAATATATTTAATAAATGCTATAATAAATGTATTATACTTTAACTTGGCTATCAAAAACATTAAATATGGTTCTTTTGAAAAAATAACATTGAATGTTTTATTTATTAAATATAATTGTTTAGTCAAATTAGACTTCATAATTCAATAAATGTTATTTTAAGCAATTCAACAACCACTTCTTTCCATCACTAGAATATTCCTATAAAAAACACTAAGATTACGCTAATAGTTACATTTTTGAATAATCTGAAAGATTGTTTATTCAATTTTATTCATCTTAGTCATGAGAACAATGTCGCGTTCTCCATCTCTCACAATTGTTTTGTTGTGCCTTTACAACCTCTCTTTCTTAGAGGCTCTCAACAGTGGCTTTAGTGTGGAGATGATCCATCGTGACTCATCAAAATCACCATTCTATCGTCACACAGAAACTCAATTCCAACGAGTGGCCAATGTTGTAAGTCGTTCCATTAACCGTGCAAATCACTTACACAAACGTTCTAGATCTCCAAATACAATTGAGGCCACAGTAACACCAGATCAAGAAGGTGACTACCTTATGAGCTATTCAGTTGGAACCCCACCATTCCAACTCTTCGGTATTATTGATACAGGTAGTGACTTAGTTTGGTTGCAATGTCAACCTTGTAAAAGTTGTTACAACCAAACCACTCCTATATTCAATCCTTCAAAATCCAAAACCTACAAAACCCTTCCTTGCAATTCTACTACATGTAAATCGGCGGGAGCCTCTTGCTCCAATGATTCTAGAAAAACTTGTGAATATAGTATTATCTATGGGGATAAGTCACTCTCACAAGGAGATCTTAGTGTGGAGACCCTTTCTTTAGGCTCCACTAATGGTCATCTTATCCAATTTCCTAGAACTGTGATAGGATGTGGATATGACAATACTGTTTCTTTTGAAGGGAAAACATCTGGCATAGTTGGCCTTGGATTAGGACCTGTGTCCCTTGTATCTCAATTGAAATCTTCCATACGTGGAAAGTTTTCCTATTGTTTGACACCAATGTATTCACAATCTAACTCATCTAGCAAACTGCATTTTGGAGATGCTGCTGTGGTTTCTGGGAAAGGGACTATTTCAACCCCCATGGTCTTTCAAGAAGTATTTTACTTCTTAACCTTGGAAGCATTTAGTGTAGGAAACAAAAGAATAGTGTTAAGAGGCTCCTCATCTAGACCTAGTAGAAAAGGAAATATCATAATTGACTCAGGTACAACACTCACTCTTTTGCCAAAGGATGTTTATTCAAAGTTGGAATCAGCTGTCGCAGATGCAGTTAAATTAGAGCGTGCTAAGGATCCAAGTCATGAGTTGAGCCTTTGCTATAAAGTTACATCCGATGAACTAGATGTACCAGTGATCACAGCACATTTTAATGGCGCTGATGTCAAGTTGAATGCTATCAACACCTTTCTTCAAGTGGCAGATGGAGTAGTATGCTTTGCTTTCATGTCAAGTCCCATTGGTCCCATTTTTGGAAACTTGGCTCAGCAAAACTTCTTGGTTGGTTATGACCTCGAAAAGAAAATGGTCTCCTTTAAGCCCATGGATTGCACTAAGCAGTGATTGATTGTAATTTATCTTACTTGGCCTAAGTTAGTGGATTAACAAAAAACTTCTCCTTTTGTTGTGCTGTGTTCCATTATCATCATTGTTGAGAATGCATATGATGAGAGAAAAGTTATCATTGTTGAATATATTATTTTAATTACATGTTTAGTTCTAAAAATACATTATGCGTGCTTATTTTGACTATATGCAAATGGCTATATATATGACATGCATAATATTTATGCTCAAACTCCTTACAAATTTTCACTCAACATTGATTCATATATCAACCAATAAACAATTTAATTAATATTTCCTTGAAAACATTTTAAAAATATATTTAACAAGAATTGATCACATGTAATTTTAATAACATTTACATGAAACTAATCTAAGTTATAATTGTTGTATGCAAAATTAATATACATTCTATTAGTGCAAAATAGATTTTTAAAATTGGTTATTTTTTATTTTAAAATTTATTATTTTTCTGATTTTAAAATAGCCAATTTAATAGGTGTTAATTTTTAAAATCTACCGAAAATGGATTTTAAAAGTTTACTTTTGAAATTGGTTATTCATAAATGTGTATGTGTTTGACATATGAAATAGGTTAGGTACTTAACCGATATCTTGTACTTTCGAAAACATCCAAAAATCAATTTTTGCAAGACTATGTCTAATTCAGTCAGAGACTCTCATTCAACCAATCAGACAACCTATTAAGTATTTTTGCAAGCCAATTTTGTCTTCAGCTTTTGCACACAATATAAACAACTGCAGTGGCAAACTAGATGAAATTAATAGGTAATATAAAATGAGTTAATCACCTATACATTGTTAGTGTAAAAAATTTTTACACTAGTAACCAATTATATCTTTTAATTGTGTCATGTCACTATAAACATATTTATTTTTAACAGTGACATGACATAATTAAAAGATATAATTGGTTGCTAATGTAAAAATTTTTTACACTAACAGTGTATAAGTGATTAACTCATATAAAATATATTATATTTAATGATTACTACATCACCCCAATTGTAGTCGTCCATGCCATCACCGGACGATGGACCTCCTCCGATGCTCATCAGTCTGTTGGCTACCTTTTTGAGTATAGCACCTTCACCAACCTCACTACAAGAAAAAGTTAAATTATTAACTATCAAAATTTGTTAGTAACAATGATGATATGTCATTAACTTGAAGCGATAAGGATTAGTCATCTTTCGAAAAGTTTCCTATAAAGTGTGAGTAAAAATAAAAGATGCTGAAAAATATTATGTTGATTTGTAGAGAAAGTCGTTGATCCTAAAAGCGGTCAACATTACAAAAAGGACTACTTATAAAAGGTTTTAGCAAATGAAAGATTTTGACCAACAAGAAGTTATGTGAACTATCATTGAGTGAAATGTCGAGAAGTAGAGCAGTTGAGATGTCTAGTTTGAGAGGATTTATAATTGGTATTAGAGCATATCCTCTCTACTAGTACAGTGTGGTTTAGGGATGAACCAAGTTGAAGTTAGTGGGTTTGTAATAGCTCAAACTCACTAAAATGAGAGAGATCTAGATATTTGTACAAGCATAAAATTATATAGTTGAGGATGATTTAAAGGAAATAATTAGTACTACCTATTCCAATAAAATGCATTTTCTTTTCGATAGCTCATGTCACTTAAGGATTTTATAGTTAGGCGTGTTTGACTTGGAACAATTTAGGGATGAATGACATTTTGGAATGTTTTCCAAAAAGTGTGTTAGTAAGGATAAAACATGCTAAAAAGTCTTATGTTAGCTGGTAGAAAAAATTGTTGATTGTAAAATGGTCAAACATCTCAAAAAAGGCTCTTTACATATGGTTCTCACCAATGAAGAGTTATGTCAAGTGTAGGAATGAAAAATATACCCGTACTCGTGGGTAATACTCGAACTCGTTCCGACTTTGACAGGAAATACCCAGTTTGACCAGGTATAGGTACAGGTACGGGTAAAATCCGATATATTAAACTGGGTATGGTACGAGTATATACTTACCAGCCTCGTACCGGTCCTCGTACCTGTTCCTATTCTCAATTTAATACCCACTTCCGATTTAATTATGTTAAAGAATTTTAACATTCTATTATGTGTGATTATTTATTATAATATGAGATAGAGAAATAATCTAATTATAATTATAATAAAATAAAAAAATAATTTAAAAATATTGTATTATTTTTACAAAAAAAATAATAATTTTTGACGGGTACGGGTATACCTGATACCCGACGGAAACGGTGATGATGATGAAAATTATATATCCGACGGGTATAGGTACGATGACGGAGATGAATTTGAATCGCGGGGATGGGGACAGGTATCATGAAACCCGTACCCCACACGCCTCGTTACCATCCCTAGTCAAATATCATCAAGTAAAGTGTCATGAAATGAAATCTCTCAAATATTTGATCTAAGGAGTTTTACGAGACCAATAATCTTAGACGTGCCTAGCAATGAGATAAAATGAAAATTAATAATAAAAGGAAAAAAAAGTTAGAACAATAATTTATAAATTTGTTAAAGTGAAAAGGGGTAAAGAATAAAAATACTCTATTTCTAGCTATTAAAACTAATAATAATACTAAACTCCAATCCATGTACCTTCCTTCTTTAATCCTATAAAAAGAATGGACATCTACCTTCCTTCTTTAATCCTATAAAAAGAATGGACATCAGATGCAACATATATAAACAAATTAACAAATTCTCATGAAATGCATGAAATTATCTTATATAACAGACCTTTCACCCTTAAATCATAATTACAATGTGCACATAATAACAAGCTATAAAACACTTGAAAGGCTAAAACTTAAAAAAGAAAAAGAGAAATAGTTGTGAATCAAGGAACAAGAACGAAGTGGGTAATAATACTTCAAAGGTATAAACGTATCTAATTTTCTTTTCTTCTTCTCTATGCCCTCAAACGGAAAAGTCACACAGAGAACAAATAAATATTCATGTACATCATAACTGAAGCACTCCCCATCACCTTACATTCACTAAGGAAAGGAAATTGTGACTCCTTTTGTAAACTACTATAGTGTCGTTAATCACACGAGGAAATAATAATAAACATTGAAAAATAACATTGTGACTTCTAGATTTCTAAATATTTTTCATCAAATTTCTCAACAATCAAACACCTTCTTAATTGATGAAAACAAATCTACAAGGAAGCATAAACATCAATGAAAATAAACAAATTAGTTGATAGGCATTAAATAAAACTCATGTAAAAGTTCAGTCCCAAATCATAATTCATAAGAAACCCAAAACTTCAAAATTTGTAGGTCAAAAGTAATAATCAAGAGAAAATAACAAAAAAAAAATATCAAGATATCAAAAGAAAGGGCTTTTTCTCAGCTTTTGCTTCAACCCGACATCCCTAGCTACGACCATTTGCGGGGGCAACCAATTCTCTCCTGTACCCACACGCACTCCTTTTTTGCTTCACAATGGAAAATGTTGCTTCCGTTTCAGAGGCTTCGTAACTTCTTTCTTTTTCATTCCTTATATTATTTTTAATGTGAAATCTTGATTATTTGTGTTTTGTGCTATGAAAGTTGGGCTAAAATCCCGTATAGTTTTAAGTCTATTTAGGGGAAAATGAAAAACCAAAAAGGAAAAGATGAATTTAAGGTTAACAATTTAAAATTTATAGCTAATTTTTTTCTCCACCAATTTATGTCCTTAATTTATAAGAATAAATTGAATTTATATTAATAATAAAAGTAAATGGAACACATAATATTCAATAAGAATTGATTAATTTCTATTATTAATTCTTATTATAATTTTAGATAAAGTATATTTTTGATCATTTATTTTATTTTTTAGATTTATTTTGATCTTTTATCTCTTAAACTTAAGTCAATTTAGTCTTTTAAAATTATTTTTTATTTAATTTAATACTTGAAATTTATCTAATAAGATTCAATCATACAAAAGTTATTGAATGTAAATGATGTTCAAACTAAATGTGTTTTAAACATCACACAAATTGAAAATTTCAACAAATCTAATTTCATATTATTTTTTAGTTGTCCATGATGAGATATATTTTTCACATAATTTTCACTGTGTTTATTAACTCTTTTGGATTCAAATATCAATTATTTTCATAGTTTTCATATAGGTGAATTTAACATTACAAACTTCATGTCTTCAATCAATTGAAAAATTGATTCAAAATCATGTCACAAAATTTAAAGTGACCATTGTTTTAAAAGGACCAAACTAATTAAAATATAAAAGATAAAAGATCAAAATAAACATTTTAAAAGATAAAGGACTAAATTGAATTTAAAAGACAAGATAAATGATCAAAAGTATAATTTAACCTATAATTTTTATGATTTAAAAATTAAATAATAAAATTAAAACCCACTTTAAAATAAGGATATTGATTAATAATTTGATTAAATGGTATGGTAATTTTTATCATAATTAATTTGATTACTATTAAAATGATCAATAGTATCATAATTAAATCGATCAATTAGTATTAAAAATAGTAATCTGTATCAGAATTCATTTGATATATTAATATTAAAAAATTAAATTGTATCATAATTAATTTAATTACTATTAAAAGATAACTTGTATCATAATTAATTCAATTACACTAGTGTAAATTAATATGTAATAAATTTAATTTCAATATAATTAAGTCATAATATTAAAATAAATTTAAAATATTAAATAATAAATTAAAGTTATAATAAAAATAATAATCATAAAATATTTATAATTTCAGAAAATTTAAATGAAAAAATATTTTAATTTAATTTTTTTAAAATAAAACTATAGACGCATACCATAACCCATCAATTATTTTGTTTATATTTATCAAATTAATGATTTTAAAAATAACATTCAAATAGTAATAAGTATAAAATTAAAATATTAATGATACATTAACTATTTCATAAATAATAAGTATAAATATACATATAATATGCTGTCATAAGAAATATACATGGTAATATATTTAATCTAAATTTGAAATAATGTTAAAATTAATTAATAAATAGTTATAAATGAAAATGGTGAGTAACAGTTTATTTTCTCTTATATATTCTTTAAAAA